GGCCGACATTCGCTATGCTATTTTCGTCATTCTTGTGAGAAGCGTGGTATTCGCTAAACACATGCTAGGAATTTTGTGCCAATTGTCTATGCAGTGGCTGACGACGATGATGAATTAGGGCTGAAGTGGGTATGCCCCCAGTTAATTGGGAAACAAGAACAAGCTTTTATAATGGATTGGAGCATTGTGCGGCCCACTAGTTATGCTAACCGCATTGTGCGACGACTGGTTGTTCTTTCGCTGTTGTCAAACGCTTTAAAAGTCGAAATAACGCGATTGCTTTCGTGCCATCAAGCCTGCCTAAGGCAAGTTTGACAGCAAGTCACAAGCACCGAAGTAGCTCAGTATGTTGGTCACAATGGAGCGTCCCATAATCCCACATGTTTGATGAGGCCCTACCAATTGCTTGATTACCCTTTGAAGTTGCCGTGTTAGAACTTTCATTAAAATTTTGTAATCACAATTGGTTAGTGATGTAGGTCTATACGAAGAAACTGGTTTTAACTTCTCTGAGTGTTCTGTCTTAGATATCAAAACTGTATTTGCTTCACTAAAGGACCTAGGGAGGCCATTAAGTTCATAAGCCTGACTGAAGACATCTGGAAGCACTTGGAATAATTCATTTTTAAACTCCTTATAAAACGAAGCACAAAGATCGTCCGGCTCCGGAGACTTAGCAGGATTCATTTTATCTATAGCCCTTTCTACTTCCGTTGGTGTTAAAGAGTCATCTGACAACTTCGGCATTCTGGTAAGGAACTCTTGCTTAAGTGCCTCTGAATCAATAGGCGTGGCAGCGAAGAGTGCTTCGTATATTTGCCAAACGCTCGTCCAATGCTCTCATTATCTGAAACTTCGATGCCGCTGACTTCAATGACATCTATATGATTTCGTCTCGCATGACTCTTCTCTAATCCAAGTGCTCGCTTCGTCGGGCGATCATCCACAGTCATTGCTGTTGCTCTGGCTCACACTAGCGCTCCGCGATAGCGTTCCTCCTCATATACCTCTATCCTCTGTTTGATACTCCGCAAATCGTCACCATATACTCCAGGTTTTTCACATTAAAGAGCGGTTAGCCTCTCAAATGTTCGTCTAAGCTCTTTCTCTTTCTTTTTAGATTCAAAAGATAAAACGCTAGATCTCTCTATTCCTTTCATTTTGATTCGCTGCTTGAATAGCTCCCATTCTTCTCCTATTTTATCCATACGCTCTATGTTAACATTATTAATGTTTTTATAACTGATGCGCTAAAAGACTCATCCCCTAAGAGGTTAGAGTTCATTTTCCATTGTTCCCAAGAAAAGGCGTGCCTTACTTTTCGGTCCGATATTGCATTTCACAAGACAGTGATCAAAAAAGAAACAGGGACAACGTTATAACTGCTACACTGGGTTATCGCTTCTGCAGTAAGGTAAAGTCGATCCAATCGGGCATTACTTGCGCCCTGAAAGTGGGTATGCTTCACATCTCGGGAGCTATACAGACACTCCGCAACATCTACTAATTCGTATTCAATAATCACCTGTGCCAGGACATCGCTGCTTCTGTCTTTAACGTTGCGACTGCTTGATCTATCACTTTCATTCAAGACACAGTTGAAATCACTCACCAATAAGAGTTTTCTACCAGTACACATATGTTGTCGTAAATTGGAAAAAAAAACACTCGCTCTTTCCTGGCCAATAGTTGGAGCGTAAACAAATATAATGCACCATTCAGTGTCACACTAAACAATATCACACCATACTACTTGGCCTGACGAGCAAGAAAAGACATTTTGTATGACCAATCCTGGAAGTTTTCTAACAAAAAGAACACATCCCCAAGATGTGCCTATGGCATGGCTCACAGTGGCAAAATACCGTGATGTAAACTTAAGCACCATGCTTTCAATCTCCTCCTCGCCTGTGTAGCGATGCCAATCAAAGAGGGGTAGCCATTCTACAGATTGATCTCGAGAAAGCGTTTGATTGTGTTTCCCACAACCTTCTGCTTGCCGTTCTTGACCATGTCAACGTTGGTTCTGTAAACAGAGATGGGATATCTATGGCATACCGGAACTGCACGACCCGTCTGATAAACAACAAGACGCTAGGAGATAAAATTAACATGAAGCGTTCTGTCCGTCAGGGCTGCCCACGGAGTCTCCTACTTTTCAGTTTATATATAGAATCGTTGTTCTTAGCAATAGCTCAAAACAGTTGCATTCGAGGCTTTAGATTACAAGAATCCGAAGTTAAAATTTTGCCGTATGCCGACGATGTGGCTGTTTGTTGTATCGATCAAGATAGTGTTACCACTACCATCAGCGTAGTCGAAAGGTTCTGCAATGCAACTGGCAGTCTAGTAAACTGGGAAAATTTTCTGGGTTTCTGGCATGGAGAGTGGTCGTCAAGACCAGACTATTTTGCCAATGTTAAATGGGTGACCACAGCTGTCAAGTACCTTGGGGTGCCTCTGGAATATTATGAAGATAATGAGAACTACTGACAAGAACAAGTGAAAGAAATCTGGGCGAAAGCCCATAGATGCAACGGTAATCAAATTTCAGCGCTTTCGAGGGCGAGTGTCTGTAATCTTTGCTTTGCCTCAAAACTTTGGTATGTGATGCAAGTATTGCATTGTTCAAGGGCAAACATACAGAAGCTCCATCGCATCTTCGAAATGTTCGTGTGGGTCTCGAACTGAGAGAGATGCAGTCGAACTAATCTTTTTCGAAAAGTGAAACAAGGAGGGCTGGGTTTACCACAACTTTTCATACACTAAGTCGTAAATAGGTTCTTTTTTTTTCGCTACACAAGATATCCTTTTTTACGTACAGTGTGCCAAATGAGTCTGATGTGGGCTTTACCTGGATATGTGGTTAGCACGAATGACATGGCCGGTGTTGTCCGTGGGTATCTTAGGTAGGTTTTTATCTGTTAGATTTTTTAATGAATATTTGTTTTCAGTGACTCGCAAAAAGTTGCACAAAGATGTGTGTGATGTTGTTTTACCTGAATCCCTGTACCGTGTCATGTACACTGGAGGTCAAGGGCAAGATGTGCTTAAACGAGTGAAGAGAATTCAAGTGGCTCCTGCTGTGAAGTCCTTCTTTTTCAAGCTGCACACAGGTACATTAAGTGTCAGGACATTTAAAGCAGACCGTGGTGTTTACTCACCATGAGGGACAATTTGCCTTATCTGTGAAAAACCGGAAACTATAGACCCTGTTTACTTACAATGTTGGGAGGGAGTATATTTTTTGGGATGTACTTCAGAGGACGTTAAAGAAGGAATTACCCTTAAATTCATATGGTATAAGATTTCTGCCAATAGTGGGCCAAGAGGGAATACCTTTTGATTTGAATATGTTATGTGGACTTCACTGTTTATGGCGGGCCTGTATGGCCGGTTTCTATCGCGGTCAGGATGCACGGCCTGCACGAATGTATTTCCGTGAATGTATGGCCAAGTTTGTTGAACTGCAGAAAACTCAGGAGATTGTACCTGGGTGGTTATCGAGGGTAGAGCTTGGCAGCACTTAGGGAGTTTTAGTTACTGCTTGTTTTTGTTGTGCTTGTTGGTTGATGTACGCGTCTATAAACAGGCAATAAAGCCAAAAAACCGGCGTAACTCAGTGGTAGAATATTGGGCAGGCACCAAGTGGACCCGGGTTTAATCCCAACTGTGTCATTAATGCAAGGTTTTTTTTTCTAAATTTGCGCGATGTGGTTACGGACACCAGCGGCGGCGGCGAACATGCAACTGCACATGACCCGTGTTGTGATCTCATAACAGCTTTTGCTGTAAAAGAAGGCACAATGATCACAAACAAGTAAAACGAATGAGAAGAACGGTTGTTGCATGGCGTGGTTCTGGTATATAGAGCTTAACGCACGAAACCGTCTCATGTGATGAGAGACGGCGTATTCATGAGCTCCTGGAAACTTAGATAACCAGACGTAGTTTAACGCGCGCTTAAATGGCACAGCACATGGACCTCGAGCATTTCACAACCATCAAAATGCAATCGCAGTGGCCGGGACAGATCCCTCGCCTTTCAGGTCAGCAACCGAGCACCGTAGCCATGAAGCCAACGCGCTGACTCGGAACAGACAGAATGCCGATATGAACAAGCCTCGAGTTTGTGCATCGCGTGCTGCACGTTCGCTACGAGTTGCAGGCCGCAACTATTCTACTCTAAATATACTTCTTTCAATTGCAGATATTCTGCCACCATCGTATTACTTTCATTCCGGAAACTATATAATGGTAAATAAAATATATCATACCGTAAGCACATTGCACTCTCTCAACTGGCCCCCTGTTGTCGAGTCACACATGAAAGAAGAGGAGGAGAAGGAAAGGAAGAAATCAAAGGCAGGGATGTCAACCAGACGCCCGTCTGGTTTAGTACCCTGCACTGGTGGTCACTTGTTGATTATGCACGTCACTACACAAATCAAAACGAGCTCAGCAATCCGGCTGTCAAAATGCAGCCACCTTTGCTGAGATCGGATCCCTCGACCTTCAGGTCAGGATTTGAGCACTCTAACCATTAGACAACCGTGGCCGGGCAAAAAGCTTGACGTCATACGTAAGCAAATCGCACCTTTAGACGGAACCATGCAAGTATCGGTTAGCAATGACGCACAATAAGTAAACTGAGGTGACAAAGCAGCGAAACAATGATTATGCACCAACCAGCCCATTTAATAGTCCTCCTTAGATAAGTAAAATTTTATTGAAGCACAAAAAAGCACTTGTCAGTGAATGAATTGATTCATAAAGCTTGTCGTACTAAACCCTAAAGCTGCACATGTGTCTTGGCCGTTGTGGCCACGTAACAAGTGACAGAGGCCACTCACACTTTGTCACGCAACATGTACGTAGGTATAGTGAGAAACGTTGCCGAGAAACTGGGCCACTATTCACTAGTGAAACTTGCGACTAAGGTCATACTAACAATTTTACGTCAGCATGCCTGCTTCTTTCGCCTTGCTGGGTTTTGTTTTTTAGATAAAGACGGCCGTTCCGTTGGTCAATTCTTTGCATTCCTGGGACCGCCCCAACCACTCAACAACATCCTTTTTTGAAGTACTTCGACGATTTTCGTACAGGGCATCGCACAATGCACATAGATTGTTCTTTGGCTTGATGATGACAAAGTTTTCTTTCCACATTGTGTAAGTGCCATAATTTTTGAAGTTGTGATAAATTTGAAACATTTTTGTCAAAACGTGTGCAACCGTAGGAGCCCCAGTGGCCTGCACAACGGACATCGGTGGCACTGTATTCCCCAGTGTGGAACGTCCGAAATACACAGGAATGATCGAGTACTGCAGAGCACCAAACAGTAACTGCCTCGGATTCTGAAAGCAGGGTGAATTGTCGACGACGAATACAAAGTAGTACTGCTTCTGAAAGTGCTTTAGGCAAGAGTCAAGATCCTTCCGGCATTGCGCGCCCCCACAATTCTTAACGATGTGGGCGCCACTGGCATTCGCAACGGAATGGGCTAATTGAAATTCTGTCGTTAGGTTTCCAATGGTTTTTGCTGAAGTGTGAATTTGATCGTCCTCGCACTTGCTCACCAGCCACAGCACGGCCCTGGGTTTTGATCTGAAGCTCCAGTTGAGGCTCTCAAGTGATTCGTTGCTCGGCACCGTAGTCCACGATCTGTACGGAATTATCACGTCGGCGTCACTGCGTTGTGACATTGTCCAGTTGAATTGAGCGGTCATCAACCGCAGGTCCTTGGAGGCTTCCTGCAAGGGTTGGCCTCGGTCCAAGATTACCCATAACTGCCCTTTGTGCCGGTACGTTGGCACGTCGTGGTAGTTGACGGTGCTGGTGTCGAAAAGGATGGCATCGGCTCGCCTCAGGTACTTTCTGTCCCTGGTGATGAAACAAGTACTTTGGTCGGCACGAGCAGGGCAGCGCTCCAAAAGGCACTCGCCACTAGTCCGCATCGGCTCGTCAGATTCCCAGAGGAAAGTGGCTGCTGCCCAGATAAGAATGCGAGGGTTGTCAACCTCGTCGTCCATGGAGCCATTACTCCCCAGATCGCGCTCGTACCACGGGCGCCAAGAAACTTCGCGCCTAGATTCCTCTACTACGTCCTTCCAGTAACGCATGATCATAAGGGGTATAAGTGTAGAGACGCCAATAAGTAGCACCATGATGATGAAAAATAGTACGTCGGACCACTCCTTGAACAGCTGGTAAGCAGCACTCGTATACGCTGCTTTGTGGTCCTTCAGAAGGACACGTTCCCGTCCGCGGCGTATGTGCACCAGGCGGGGGCGCCAGGGTTCTGACAAAGTAAACTGAAATGAAGTACTGGTTAGTCAAACGATCATTGCTGAAACGCATCAACATTTCAGATGCTGTGTGTGCAGCACACTGTTGTTGAAGGAAGATTTAACGTTCCGAGGTATAAACACGCCCATATGAGGAGTGCATCACTTTATTTATTTTACTTGTACGCTGCGAATTTATTTTGCATACTACGTGTATCAGGTGATGCAGTTAAGATGCTGTAGGTGAGACTAACGTTATTCTTTACTCTTGGCTGCTGAACATATGAAAAAACATGCATTAGCAATGGCTTCGGAAAGAAAATGCTCTAGCTACACTTTGCGTATTACGATACCAAGCGAAGTGCCCAGCGTTTTACCTGGAATTTCCCACCCCAACTGAACTCGAACACAGGTATCACTGCTGCAGCTTATTTTTTCAAAGCAAACAAATTATAGAACAGGCTACGAACCCTCATTCACAGAGACAGCGCCTTGTCTTGGCGTGCAGCTTAGCAGAAATAAGTGTCAACCACAAGGCATCTTCGAACGAACACAAGGCAACAGAATTGGCACATGCTCTGAGCTTAGGTTGAGCCCCACTGATTTCCAATATGCACTAGTAAGCACACATTCGAATTAATATCAGCTATTTTTGGTTTATCAAGCAACAGATGGTTTAAGCGTGTACTTTAGAACTTATATTTAGCGAATCATTCGCATCATTGTTTGGATAAAACCCTTAATCTTGAGATTTGCTCAGTGAACAAGATTCGCTGTATTGATAAGAGTGGGTACACGAGTAGCATCACTCATTGCGCACTTAGGGGAATATTATGTTGTGACTGCGCATAATGAAAACACTACCGCCCCTATGATTACGTTGCCATAACCTATCTGGTTGCATGCTCTTTCGGTGAATGCTGCTCGCTTAGACGCGTAGATAGTCCTCCTTTAATCTCTGCCATGAAGTGGGGTGGTTGCATAATCATCCTTAGTTGCTTGTCGGAAGAACCAGCCAAAGCCTATTGCGCATGCCACCACGGCATAGAGCAAGTAGAAGTCGTCTTTTATGTCTACCGAGATGAGTACCATACAGGAATGTAAGTTAACAAGGCTCCCTTCTAAAGTACCGACACGCTTCAGTTCTTTCATCTAGCAACAAAGGCTATACATGCCACTATTGTCTCTTTCTTCTGTACTGGTTATGACGTCATAAAAATTCAAAAACTTACAATTGGTGACTTTCCCTGACAGACTTTCTTATGTTGCTTTGTGTTGTGAAGTGGGCTTTTTAAATATTTTTTTATTATTTTGAGTTAACCTCACTTTGCCGTGCGACATGGCTTTTTAGCCTCTTCTGTTGGGAGATTCTATGGTGAGATAAGTCTAAAAGGGGGGACAGGTACGAAAGATAGCGCAGTAAAAGAGTTTATTAGTACGAAGCTTTTCCTGATTTTCTAACGCGAGCGTGGACACGAGATAGTGATTTAGTGTCGTGGGGCAGCACAACTATGTAAGTTCACTAGATCTTAAGGTGTTGCACTCCTGGCACTGTTGGTGGAATGTATTAATGGCCACCCCAGCTTGTACTCATTCAAAAGAGAATACTTCGAATAATTCAAGGGGAAACACAAGGCATACGAATGTATTAAGACGTGTGTGTGTCCGTAAAAATGTGGAATAGTTATTAATAATTGTTGGGGTTTAACGTGCCACAACCATGACATAATAATAAGAGTCGCCATAGTGGAGGGATCCAGAAATATCGACCATCTGAGGTTCTTTAAAATGCTATACGCGTCGCAGGCTCTACGCGTCGCAGGCCAGCTAAGCTCTACGCGGGCATTGCTAAGTTTTCTAAAGACGACCGGACTACGCGACCACTTATAAGCGTGCAATGGACAAGGTCACATCTACACACACGTTGCCCTTCACCTCTCTCTCTCTTTTCTCCTTCAATCCACTCACCCTTTCCCCCAGTGCAGGGTAGCAAACCGGACGTGCGTCTGGTTGACCTCCCTGCCTTTCATTTCTCCCCTTCCTACTCCTCCTCAACCACCTAAATCTTAGTTTACGGGCATTGAACATTTTCGCCTCCACTGTAAATGCGGCCACCGTGGCCGAGATTCGATTCTGTGACCTGTGGCGTGATAGTCGAGCACCACAACCACTAGACCACCATGGCGGGTACAGGAAAGTGATCTTGCGGATAAAAGGATGGTGATGGTCTGAACGGAGATTTCGTAAGGAGTGATTTCTGGAGTGAAGTTACGAAAACCATTTCTTCCCGCTTGATGATTATTGCTCTAGTTCTGACTGTGTCGAAGCATCCAGTGTTTGAATAAACACAGACGAAAAAAGAGAATGGTCTGTGATGATTCTGAATATCTACCTAAATTCTTTGAGTGCTGTAAGTTTTCATAGGGTTATTCGAAGTGCCCTTAGAGTATGTATAAATATCAAACCCAGTCATTATCTGCGCATTTATGACTTCGATTATTATATGATATGGGCTACTCGTGCGGAATATACCACCTGATCGGACATCACCGATTTTGCACTTGCTCAAAAGCTTGCCGTATAGCAGCAGCGGACACGCAAGACATGCAACCTATCGAGCAGATAAATCGACGAACGAAGTTAGCAGAACACACTTTAGGCAGGTTCCTAGCATTGTTTATGCCAAGGTGATGATTATAGTAGTCTCCACTTTCTCTTTCAACTTTCAACTTTCTCTCTCCCAATTCAACTTTCAACTTTCAACTTTCTCGCTCCAAATTTTTGGCGTGAGCACCCCCGCCGCCACTTAACCCCCCTTTTGTTTCGTCGCTTCGAGCTGACATGATTTAGAAACTAAGTGGTGCTACTATCCCTATATCATTCCTGGGTGTTTTTACAGTAAACATTGTCTGCACATGGGAAAACGTGTCGCAGTTTTTGTCAAGGCTTTGGTACTCTGTGAGGTTTTGGGCAGGAATCTCGGCCGCGAGCGTTGTAAGCTGGCTCTGCGACGAGAATATGCTGGATTGGAGGTCATACGTGTACCCACAGGAACAGATCTTGCCGGATTTAATTTCTACAATAATTTTTGCTAAGAAGAGATTCTTTTTATTGGTAAAAGCCAGACACAGTTCTAAGGTCTGATAGGCCACGTTCAAGCCTATTACAGAGTGACTCTTTGAACTTGTGCTAAGATATACTCAAGCCCGAGAATAATATTTCTATTGAACCTTCACAAAATATGTGGTTTATTCACTGAACTTCACCTCTATGTGAGTTTACAATATATTGATAGATATGTTTACTATGTCCTAATGGCTAAAGACACTCTGGAGTGTCCAATGACGAAGGTACAACAGAGGTAAACGTGCAGGCCAATCATAAGCTTAGAAAAACCTACTAACATACTCATTATGTAACTTTAGCAGATAAATAAAAAATGGTGGTCATAAACCGGACTGATTCAATAAAAATGCCATAGCTTTGCTGGAAAGGCGAAGAAATGAAAGGGATAGTAACAAATCGAAAGGTCACGCGCAGATTGGAAAGCAGACCGAAACATGCCCCGCGTTTCTCACGCACAAATAACGCGCAAAATGTACTCACAGGTACGGATGCACGCAAATAAGCGTCTCATTTCTTTTACTTTGCTGTGTCTGAAAAGCGCGCGCTTTTCGCAAACGGAGACCGCAATGGTTGCAGTGACCTTTATGCAACCGGTAACTACAGCAGAATCGTTCCAGCGAAAGCCCCGCCGCGGTGGTCTAGTGGCTAAGGTACTCGGCTGCTGACCCGCAGGTCGCGGGTTCAAATACCGGCTGCGGCGGCTGCATTTTCGATGGAGGCGGAAATGTTGTAGGCCCGTGTACTCAGATTTGGGTGCACGTTAAAGAACCCCAGGTGGTCGAAATTTCCGGAGCCCTCCACTACGGCGTCTCTCATAATCATATGGTGGTTTCAGGATGTTAAACCCCACAAATCTAATCGTTCCAGCGAAAGCCCGACGCCAGCAAAAGCGTAAGATGTTCCCCTCCTCGCTGCCGCGAGATAATGGCCCGTGAGGGAGCGCCGCTCCCCTTCTCTAAGCCCGGCAAAGTACGCGTAGGAGATTAGAGCGGGTGCCGCCGCGCGATGTGGCGACGCGCGCTCAGGGCGCCATCTTGCTGGTAATGCTGGAACCTCCCCCCCCCCCCCCCCCCCCTCGAGATGCTCGTGAGCAGCGGTAAGTGGTACGTATAAATAGCTTGCCGTTTGAACGGGGAAGTATGTGGTCTGGGGTGGCTCAGTAAATGAAGAAAAAAAAAAGCTCTGGGGTGGCTCAGCGGTTAACGCCTCGCTTTCACGATGCAGAGATCCCACGTTCGATTCCACGAGCCAGAGTGTTTTTTCTGGACCTTTTTTCTTGTTTTTTTTCATATAAATAGATACATTACGGTGCGTGACGCTGACGTCGACGCCGGCGGCAAAATCCAGCCGATAGTGTCCATAGAATTGCTATCGCAATAATATATGGGCTTTAACGTACCAAAACCGCCATTTGATTATGAGAGACGCCACAGTGAAGGGGTCCGGAAATTTCGACCACCTGGGGCTTTTCAACGTGCACCGAAACCTGAGCACACGGGCCTACATAATTTCCGCCTCCATCGAAAATGCAGCTGCCGCAGCCAAGATTCGATCCCATGGCCAGGTGGTCATAAAACTAAAGCAGCGTAATAAGAAATGCAGGTTGGCAAACGGGGCTA